CTGTCACAGATGTTTAGCGTAATAAAATTGCATGTTCCTAGCCATCGAGTAACTTGTCACAGTTTCTTTTCATTATCAGTGTGTTGAATTATTTTTCATTTTTGCTGTTTCATGTCAATACAAGAATATTCAGACTAAAGTTCCATGTTTGAATTTAATTTTGTAATTACTAAAAAGATGAAATACTTTCTCGGTTATTTATATCTTCCACATAGATTCAAAATGTGCACAAATCCTTTGAATATATATTCTGATCGTTTAAATTTATCAAAAGTGATTTATCCTCAGTGAAAACTATGTGAACACTGGGTAATTCAGAAAAATCGCTAATATGACTTGTCCTGGTACCGACATTCCAGATTAAAATATGCCTACAGTACAAGTTATTTTTGACCCCTGTAGCCTAATGCTCATGGTCGTGGACTCGCGACAGGTGTTGCTTTCGTAGAGTCATGGATTCGAGCCTTGATGTACGTTAAATCTGCTGAGGTAACAAGTTCTCCCATTGACGTGAAGCGAAATTTTTCAGAGAGAGGTGCAAGCTCAGGTGTCATCCTTATCACTTGGCCGTGGCTCAAAATTTCGAGGTCCGACGCCAATAGCTCTCGTGTTGCTTCTCAGTGCGACGTTAATAAACAATCTCAAATCACATCACGTAATAGGTTATTTTGACAAAAAAAATCTTAATTCATCGTTATATTTATGATAAAACTATCTGAAGTTAAACATTATGTCGATAGAAAATACAAATTTCTTTAATCTATGTCATAAAACTCAAAGAGATGCACAAGAATTAAAAGGAGGAGAAATTTGCCGCCAAGGACATCAACTGCGATTTGTGAAGAGAAAAAAAATCTTTCATTTTTATCAATGTGTTGTTATCTTTTAATTCGACACTAAGATTTAATAATACTAGTTATTTAATTGAGTTTAAAATTTAATTAAGAATGAGTATACATTTCTGTATTGATTAGGTGATATTCATATCCTCTGTAGTCATGGTTTCATTGTCATTCGACGACAGCAGAGGTCGGCAAAATGTTTTCGAGAGAGCTAGAATGTTAAATTTTTAGGTTCGATGGATAGAGTAGGAAATTCCCAAGATTTTCACAAGGGGCGATTCTGCTCACAGAACAGCGAAAAAAAAAAAGTTTCATGAGGAAATGGTATTTCGACATAATATTTATATACATATGCTGACACATATAAAAAACAAATAAAATATTTCCTTTCATTAACTGCTGAAATTTTGTACTAATGCGATGAATGTAATTGTTTCTTTCGGATATATTTCATCATAATGTATTTCGAAAAGGGTACTCTTATCAATAAAGTTGTTTATAAATTATGTTCTGTTGTAAGTATTGCCCTTTTTTATGTTACATACTCCCTTTTGGAAAATGTCCTTCCACATTGGTAAGTATTTTCAAATACAGATATAAAACCCCTAACATATATAGTTTTAACTGTCCTAATTTATGTTCCAAAAGGTATTTATAGAATTGCGTTAGATCCATTTTTTTATGCATCATTTTTAGTATATCATTATTTTTAAGATAAATCCCACTTTCAATTGAAGATCTGACGGAAGCTCCTCAATTAAATAGCGAAATGGATTCTGAAATATGTAAATGTCTTTTGCACTTGCATCAAGATCTGAAAAACCTTGTTGTGACTAAAATTTTTCTTGATGCAATATTTTCACTTAAAAACAATACTAGCCCGTAAGCCGAATTAAAAATAGATGAAGGCCTGTTTTGGGAAGTAGCATTACGAGCCTTCGATGTCGCTTCTCTGAAACATTACTCTAAAGAAAAGAGACATTTACAGAGATTTCGTTAGCCACCAAAGAAAGTTTTTCAGCTACTCCCAACTTTGGCAGCTTGGAGAGAAACTTGGCGACAAAATGAAGGTCCTCGAAAGTGCTGGAATCTTGTTGATAACTCGATTGAGAGAAAAGTTATTCAATTTTTTCAGAATTTTCATTGTGACATTTCACCTGAACGAAAGCGTGACTATAAATATGGAGTGATGTGAAACCTGAGGGGAAATAGCCAAGTGAATCTGCTGAAAATTGGATAAGCAAATCTGTTTGTACCTGAATCTGCTGGGAAGCAGATTATATCTTCCGGAAGCTGTGGAATCTGCATTAGAAGTGTAAAGTATTTGTCTGAAGTATAAACTAATAAGATGAATATTATTAACAGAACTGTTACTCTTATTGAAAGTGCTGTTTTGTATCTGTTTGTGTTGCTGATTTAAACAAGTGCTGTATTTGTTCCTGGTGTGTCGCTAATCAATACAAGTTTCGCTACCTGTGTTTCGCCTCGTCCTGAATATTTGTGAATAAAGTGTCCTTTGCCATTATTCTCCTTGTTGGACTGTTTTCACCGTACTCCCTCGAGGTAGATTTTTCTAATAGCAGATTATAGAGTATATTAACTCATTATAGCTTCTGAATTCTAAATCTGGTCATAACAAAAAGACCTTAAAAATAGATAAAATGGAATTTAGGTTTAAAAAAACATTTTTTAATGGTTTTTAGATGAAAGTTCTCAAATCCCATAGAAAAAATTATTTTATTTACTATGGTTAGTAACCTATTCGCGGTCTTCCATCTTGAAAAGGAATCCTACTCCAACTTCAGGAGAAGATACGGTGTTTCAGGAGGTAAGAAAGAGTAAATAAGTTACAAAATGACTAAAACACAGATTAGAAAATCTATTTGTTTATATCACCAGTTATCCAGCTATCAACATCAATGAACATTAATCCTCAAATTGCTTAATTTTTTTTTAATAAAATCGCTTCAGAAATAGCGTAACTTTAATTATATAGTTTAAATTTAAATATTTGTGGGAGCTTAGATTTGTAACATAATTTTGATTCAAATATTTTTTTTTAAATATTGATTTGGATCATAAGATGCTCAGAAAAATCAATTTTAGATACACTTAAAAATCGTTGGATAAACAGACAGCGGGTTAATAAAATTGAGTCAACACAATTAATTATAAGAAAAATGTTATCCTTAACTTGAAGATTGTTTTAGATTACTAGCAGGAAATTGAATAATTTCAATGTTTTTGACACTAATAAAGTGACGTACTTGTGATGTGTTTCTGTTTGTGCGTGTGTTATACACAAAACAATTCAAACAACAAAGAATTTAAAAATAACAATATTTATATATGAGGCACATTCACATTAGAAATAACAACAATCTCAATTTACTCCAGATATCATACGAAAATACAACCAAATTTCGAACACCATTTTTGGTAATATATACTAAATTACCAATCTTCCACATTTCAATAGTCAATGTCACCTCGTCCCTGGATTCTCTCACTACAAATCTGACGACACAGAGTTATTTAACCGCAGTGCATAAAGACAACATCCTTATAAAATAATAAGATAGCTTTACAAACGTATTTGAATAGTATCTCAATGACTGTCTCAAAGCATCATTTTGTAATCTCAGAATGTTTGGAATTATGTTTTGAAGGAACAACTTATGTGGTTGATGTTCCCTTAGAGCAGCAATGCCATCTACAAAGAAACTATCGGTGTTTTATTTATTAAATGAAATAGGCCTTTAGCATTGTAAATACATCTCTTTTCATTGTGAATAAAAGAGCGAATCAGAAGAAGTCGAACATGCAGATTTAGAGCTCGGTAATCTCATTTAAGTTTGTTCTTGTTGAACGGGCTTTCTGTTTGTAACAGAAATTTTAAACAAATAAGAATGAATCCGAATACCTCATTATGCAATATTTGGTTGCAATTCATCTCTTCCCCCCCCCCTTCCAATAAAATTTGCTGATAATGCAGTAGTAATATTTCGTTTCTAACAAACGAAGCCGTATAAATAAGAAATCGCCGCAAATATTCTCGAACGATTTTATATCCACGAAGAGCAAATTTGTTTTTAATGGCATACTTATGACACAGAACACTTCTAGATATTCATAATCACGTCAGTTTTCAGAAAGAACATATATATAACCTTGCAATACTTTTACAGATGGCACTTGATAATATCTAGTATCATAGTTTCGAATGTAGGTATTTTATTCACTACCAGTCCAATATCAAAAACTACTTATTCTTCACATGTTTACAGGAACTTGCAGCCATCATAACCAATGGCTTTTTGGAATATGGCTTCCACAAATCTGCGGTGAAAATTCTTTCTGGTGCAGAATGTGATAAATAGGAAAGAAATTATTTTGCACGAATGTCATAGTCTGGTGGACAATGATTTGTAATGGCCGTAGGTCCAGGTTTTATCATGATCAATGTTATCGTTGTTAATGTCATCCATCGAAGAAGATATGAGAGATCTAGAAGATTTTCTTTTGGTTTGTTGGGTTCGCAGGTAAGGCTCCAAGAAGGCCTGCAATGATAAAAGAAATGCATGTTATAGAGATTTAAATAAAGCAACTTATTAACAATATGACGTTGGGCTACTCGCAGGTTTCTCTTCACTAACTTTGCGGACTTTTAATCAAGATTGATAACTATTTTTATGCAATTTCTTCCCAACTAAAAATGAAGCGTGAATATTTAAATTACAGGCAGTTAGAAATAAAGTGAAGCGAGGGAGAGAGGAAGTATATAAGCTAAACTTGAGACACACGATAAAGGGCGAGTGACTCTAGCGTTTAACAGTTTTTTTTTATAGTCGAAGACGGGGTCGAGAATTGCTACAAATTATCGACAGCCTAGTGAAGCCTAGAAGTCGAGACAGCCTCAATTTTGCGATATTGGTAAGACTCCGTTAATTTGATATTAGTGGAACGAGTGAATATACCTAACGCGATATTTTGGGAGAGTCGGTATACATTTGTCGTTATAGTAGTAAGTTGTCCAATAAATATAGTGTGAGAAACCTGTCAAACGTCTTCTTGAACGACTTATTGACTCTTAGTGTTAGTATATTAAGTTTATCTATGGCACAAGAGGCGAATAGGAATATAAATTCGTCACAGTGGCGCCCAACGTGGGGCTCAAACCCACGACTCCGAAATTAAGAATCTCGTTCTCTACCGACTGAGTTAGTCGGGCCTCGAGCCACAGTCAGTTAGACCCAAGCGTAAAACGAGGCTAGACCGCCGAGTACCACAAACGAAGCGGAAGACCTCAGTTGCGAATAATAATGTTTGGCCTCGAAAAAGACGTTTTCTAAGGAAAGCGGTAGATCCCAACCGACAGTGTAACAGAAATAATGATAGATCAACAAAACGAGCATTGTCCAAGAGTTCAACTTCACCTCCGAAGAGAAGAATCCTCCAAAGGTTAATCACAAGAAGGAAGAGGCAACCAACGTCATCTCTACAGAATACAAGGCCTGCCAACCGGTCTCCAGTTCCGTTGAGCAGAGAATGGCAGGATACAAATACACTGGAGGAGCAGTCAACAGATACCACCTACATCTGCCAAGTCGAAGAGATCCTCACCATAAGCCAACCACAGCGAGCGAGAAGCCCTTACAACCTCCGCAGTAGAAGCACCAGACACCGAAGAGCACCAATCACCATCTCGGCAGAGGAACGAGCCTTTATTGAGGAGCGATGGAATACGAAACCCACACAATAGCCAGAGAGCCTCGTAGGAGAAGTATCATCTCTCTAAAGCGAAGTCGGACCTCATAAAGATTTTAGAGCAAATATAAGATTGTATCACTCTCAATGTGACGAATTTATAATCCTATTCGCTTCTTGTGCCATAACTAAAATCAATATACTAACACTTATAGCAATTAATCTTAATTAAAAGTCCCCAAAGTTAGTGAAGAGAAAACCGCGAATAGCCCAACGTCACAACAACAATAAGAAATTCCCTTAATTTTTATTAAGTAATAAAAGCAATGATTGCCGTTAGAATAGTAGGATGGTTTATAAAAATGAATGCATTTTTTTTATTTAATAACTATTTAAAATACATTAAACAATAATTATAGTCTGTAAATATAGTGTGGCCGTGGTGGTATAATGATCAGTGTGTTTGAATGCAAACAAATTGCCGATCCAGGTTTGATTTCCGGTGTTTCAGGCTTGGGTAGCTGGTCATGGATCAATTCAACCTTTTGTCCCACCGGGGCAGATAAACGAATACCAAGTTCGCTTGGAAAGTTAATTGAAGGTCCAGCGTCGTACTAATCACTAGGCCTGAACACCAGCCAGTAATTAACGTCTAAGGTTCTACAGAAACGGAGGTGGGCGCCACTTGATGGAACTTCTTAGGCTCGGGCAGAGTTTAACTTAAGGCTCCCATCAACCGGCCACTTTTATTTCGTCAGCTTAATATTAATCCTATGGAATTTCGACTTCAATTCATATTTTTACTATTTTACCAATTTGAATGCAATGAAATGCATCTGAAAGAGCAAAAAAATTATCTATGGAATTACTTTTTTCCTCCGATTCTTAAAAAAATTTTTAACCTTAATTTAACGATTTGTTTGCAAATTTTCCAGTCTTCAAAAATATTTTTAATTATTTTTAAAAATCAAAAAAATAATGAATGCTTCTGAGGAATTAAATTTTTCTCCAATTTTTAAAACATTTTTACCCCTATTTCAATAATTCATTTGCGAGTTTTCCGTCTTTAATAATATTTTTTTGGGGGAATTATGTTCCGCAAAATAATTCATTATTTTTCGTACTTTTAGATGTTTTTTGCTTTCAAATAGATTAAATAGTAAAGATTTCAGAACGGTAGTCGAATTTACAAGGTTACCATTACGTTCACGAAATCAAAATGGCCTTAATACAATAATAGTCTTAATAGACAGAAGGCTTAGCACAAAAATTAATAAACAATTAAGCCTGCATTTAATAAATGAAATTAAATATTTTCTATCTTTTAATTAAAGAACTAAAATGATATATGTTGAAACTTTAAATTACAGTTATGCGTTAAATGACAATTTTAATTATTTGCAACTTTATTTTTTAAATATATGGAATGAAGTACTACGCTTAGAACTTTAACTTTCTTCACTAAATTAGAGAAATTGGTCTATATAGTCTGACATCAAATAAATGTCTAATCCTTAAAAATGAAACCTTTTTTTTTTTTTTTTTTTTTTTTTTAAAAAATTATATCCTCAAGATTTTTCTTGTAATTATAAAAATAGTTTTTGAAATGCCCTCTTAGTTTACATAGATGTTTGTATAAGCTCACTGTTCTAAATTTTATTTTCAAACTGGAAGGAAAAGAATTCTCAAAAAATTAAAATAATACATGTCATAACAAATGCCACTAAGATAAAAACGCATAAACATTAATAATAAATCTCTCTCAAATATCGGTCGAAATTAAATCAATTTTTTTAAATATTTTTAACACTCTGCAAGAGAGGTCGGTGATACTGTACATAGATGAAAAACAAAATAACATTTAAGAATACAACTATTATTTCATTAAAGCAAATCATACGGAAGTTAGAAAGCTTTAGGTGGAAACATTTATTATTATATCGTCTGCCATTAGATTGTAGCATTCCAATCGCTTAAATTTACGCTACGTTGATTTCTAAGTTTGATCAAATGATTTCATTTCGATTTGCTCTGTTTGTACATTTGTTTCCCGTTCGAGGATTAAATTTAATTAAATTTCAATTAATCTGCTTTTCATTTTTGAATGATAGCATTTCTTTCGATACATATATATAGGCTATCTAATATCAATTGAGTGAAAGCATTTTTGAATCAATTTTAAAAGAAGATTAGTACACATCGAAAGGTTTTTATCCAAGTAGAACATGACAGTGATTGAAATATCTATCGTACTCAATGCCTTAATTGAAAAAAATGCATCAAAAATAAAAGTTCCGTTAATATTTTTACGTATAAAAAACAACTATAAGTACTCAGACGAAATTACTTTTCTGTTGACCATAAATTCTGAATTTATACCTCAGTAAAGATGAAGGATAATGTTCCAAAAACACTTTTGGCTATCGATAACCGCTTAGAAAATGCTTATTTATTTAAAATTAAGAACATTTAAATTATATAGAAATATTTAGTATAAAAATTAAACCTCTTCTAATGACAGGTTTGATCCATTAGAAATGTTAACACCAGTAAAAAACGAGTTTCTTTGAACATGGGTGTTTTCTTTCAAACTTCCCACTTTTCATAACAAATTTTTTATACCTTAAATTTTTAGAGTAAAAGGAAACGTTGAGTCAAATTGAATTTATTCAATAATTAGTTTTAAAAATTTATTTTATTATTTGACGTTTAATAAATTTATCATCTAAAATAAATTCGTGTAAATTTTTTAGCTCAATTACGCATTGTGTTAATCAATTAAGATACATGTAATTGAAATTAAAGCAAACAATAAATTTTTAAACTATGAATTTGGCGACTATTTGGCGACTTGGCAAGAAACTAGGAGTAAAATTTAATTCTATAAATAATTAGTTTAAATCATTTAATTTTTATTAATTATGATTAAATTATCATATTGTCAACCAAAAAAATAGTGTACAGGAAATTTCAGCTCAAATTAGAGCTTTAAAATGTGAGAAAAAATCTTTTAAAGATTTGAACCAAACACAGTTATAATGTGAGTAAAAGAAAAACACATTAAAAAGAGCTATATTTGTTAATAAAATAATTCGAGATAAAAACCAACGATTTTAAAAATAACATTTTTATATGGTGGCAAAGTTTATTAAAAATTATTGAAATATTAGTTAAAACTGGTAGCAAATATCTAAATATTGCATTGTTAGGTAAGTAAGAACGGTTCCCAAAATTTCAGAGCTCTAGCTTGATGGGAAGTTGGTTAAATTAACGATCAAAAATTTGATGACACACACTAAGTGAAATACATAAAAACGTTTTAAAAAAGGGGCAAATTTTCCTCATGAACACATTTAAACTTTTTTTTAACAAAATAAATTCTGGAACTTGACGGAAAGGATGGATGTAAAACATTTTTGATCCCTCTGTGTTTAGAGCATCACACATTAAAATAAAAATAATTAATTTAAAACCAAATATTTTTATGAACAAGAGACACATTTCAAAAAATTGTTGTAGCGTTCAAGCTTAAGGCTCCCGTCTACCCGCCATTTTGATTTCGTAAATGCTATGGAATTTCTACTACCGTCCTCAAATCTTTACCATTTTATCTATTTGAATGTAAAAAAGTGCATCCGAAACAGCAAAAAATAATGAAGATTTCTGCGGAATTACATTTTCCCCTTCGATTCTTAAAAATATTTTTCGATACTGGAAATTCCATTGGATTGACATTACATTTACAAAATAAATTGGCTGGTATATAGGAGCCGAGAGAGTTAATATCACATGACACAAAACGGATAAAGTCGGGAATAGGGTGTCCCCTGGGCGATTGGCGACTTCTTAGACAGGTCGCCAAATGCGCGTGACTTAAGCATTGAGTATATTTAGTGTTACCAAACCCTAAATCGATACGTTTAAATCATTATCGCTCCCAAAAGTCGCCAGCCTATTGGACACCCTATTCCTGAATTTAACACACAAAACAAATGTCCATTGCAATTATTTTACCCTGAAAACATTTAAACCGACATAACACAAGCTTCATGTGATACATTAAAAAAGTTATTTCATCAGATGAACCAATTGTATCATTTATTTTACAGTTAATTTTTTTTTTTTTTAAATGTGATATTAATTTGCTTCGTGATTTCCTTTTCATGAAATAGTTTATTAACAGGAAATAATAATCATGAAGCATTTTTGCACTGGAACTTCAATACAAAAATGTTTACAGGGTGATTATTCATTCATGAAAATAAAGGATAAACACAGAAAAATAATAAACTGTTCATTTCCGGGTGTTAGCCGAGAATTTTTGGAAATTTTTCTGAGATTAATTCCGGGAGTTGGCTTATATCCGGGTCCATTGGTTCGTTAAAATAAAAATAAAAAGTGTTTACTGCGTGCAAGTACAAATCGCCAAATATAGCATGTTTTTATATCTTTATATTTTAAGTTTATAAAGAAAATAATTCTAAATAAAATAATCATTCTGCTTATGAAAATGGGTTGTTTTAT